CCTTTGATGCAGTAAATAAATGTTCTGCATGGAAGGAAACACTTCTAAATGAGATGATTGATATTTTATACTACTCTAACTGGGAATTGTTATGCTGAATTTTTTTCTGACTTTTTAAAGACTGTACAGACTATATGTGATTCTTCTCTCTCAACTAAGGCAGCTCCACACCCCCACCAACCTCCTGCTGCTCTCTCTGGCTGTCTCAGATTTCCTCGTGGGGCTCCTCATATCCTTTCCGCTGGTCTCCTCAGACGGCTGCTGGTACCTGGGTGACCACATCTGTGTGCTGTACAGTGTGTTAGACGCCACACTGGTCACTGTCCCAGTGGGAACCATGGTGCTAATTTCTATCGATCGCTATGTGGCCATCTGTTACCCTCTGCATTATCATTATAAAATCACTGTGAGGAGAGTTTTAGTTGTTAATGTACTCTGTTGGGTCTGCTCTGTGCTGTATGTCAGTGTGATGCTGTGGGACATATTCATTCAGCCCGACCGGTTTAAAACCTGCCAGGGCGAGTGTGTAATAGCTTTTGATGATAATGAGGGAATCATAGACTTTGTCCTGATCTTTGTAGGCCCTGTTTTTGTGATCATAGTTCTGTATCTCAGGGTGTTTGTGGTGGCGGTGTCTCAGGCTCGGGCCATGAGGGGTCAGATTAGAACCGTAACTCTGAAGCCCTCAGAGGCCGTGCACGTCAGGAAATCTGAGCTGAAAGCTGCCGGGATCCTAGGAGTGGTTGTTGTTACTTTTCTGTCATGTTACTTCCCATATTACTGCTCCTCCTTAGTAGGGGATTTTCATTTTAGTTCGACAGCATTTCCTTTGCAGACCTGGCTGCCGTACTTTAACTCCTGTCTGAACCCACTCATCTATGCCTTTTGCTACCCCTGGTTCAGGAAGTCTGTTAAGCTCCTACTGACACTAAAGATTCTTCGCCGTGGCTCCTCTAGGCTGAACGTCCTGTAGAGACACTGCTCAGGCTCTGACACGAAGCGTCTGAGTGAAGAGGCTGGACATGATCCAGACACTCTGAGCAAATGTAGATTTACAGTATCTCTGTGAGTGTAAGGAAA